AAGCGCCGCAGCCAGATCGGTGGAGCAAGCCTGCCAAAGCGAACAAGATTGATGTCTTCACAAAGCTTCTTGGCCGCCGCGCGGGGATCCTTCGCACGTGCCACAGCACGTGAGACGTTGATCAACAAACCGCTGCCATCGGCACGGAGGCCAGCGTTCAGAGCTGCCTTGAGATCACCGCCCTGAGCACCAATGCCAGGGACAAGAAACCACAGCGTCGGGGCACGCACTCGCACGCGGCTGAGAGCAATCGGATCTGTGGCGCCCACAACAAGACCAACGTTCTTGTTGTAGTTCCACACTGTCTCTGCGTGCTCTGCGACCAACTCGTACAGGTGGCGGCCGTTCACGCGGAGGCACTGAATTTCATTGGAGCCCTTATTGGAGGTCTTGCAGAGGACAAACACACCCTTCGATGCGTACTGCAGGAACGGCGAGAGGGAGTCGCCACCCATGTACGGGGACGTCGTAATTGCATGAGCTTTGAGATGCTCAAAGGCAGACTTGGCGTAAGCCTCTGCAGTATCAGCAATGTCGCCACGCTTAGCATCCAGAATAACGGGAATGTTGGCAGGAACGTGAGCAATCACCTGTTGCAGTGCTTTCCAACCCTCCCCACCAAAAAACTCAAAAAAAGCGGCGTTTGGTTTGTATGCGGCGGCGTATTCCGCTGTAGCGTCAATCAGACGCATGCACTCCTCTGCAGCTTCCGCTGCTGTCTTTGCGCGGGGGTCCAACCCAATGCAGAGCAGCGTCGACTTTGCCCGCTCATTGAGCATATCAAAGAAAGCCATGGGCATAACTCCCCTTCTCTTTTCTCTTTTTTTTGTTGTTGTTTTTTCTCGCCTTATCTTCAAATTCAGTGTTGATGAGGATAAAGTAATCCTCTTTTTTTTTTTCCTGCGGGCACGTTTTGTCACGCCTGATAACTGGACGCCGTGTTGCTCCTTTGCTCTCGGACTGCAGCCGCATTTGTAAGCATCAACGGGAAATCCATTTATTAAAAAAAAAAAATTTAATAAAACAACATCAACGCCACGTAAAGACCTGAAGACTACACAGCATGACAGCCGCTAGGCGTCGTGGCAGCAGCACTCCAGAAGGAGCTTACTTCACCATCCCCCTCTTCCATGTCTCCTACTTACCCACCCCGCGTTCGTTTACAACCCGTGAGGGCAACGACACCAATACCATAAAAATACCTAAATAGCCTTACCAACAAGATGCCAGTTCGCGTACGGCGACCAGCCACACTTGGATTTCAATTGAGACTCCTTCACAACCCACTCCATGGAGAGGTCAAAGAAACGCTGGCTTTTCTCCGATAGCCCTAGGCCAAAGATACGGTTGGGGTTAGTGTGCATGAGCCGCACAATGTCCCCAATTGTCAGTCTTCGTGCCTCAATTGCCTTCGGCATTGCCGCTGTTGGGTGCGGCCAGCGCCCCGCACAAACTGTGAGAAGCAACGGAACAACCACCTCAATAGAAGGCATTCCACTTGGCGGGTTCGTCGCGTCGCTTTTCTCTTCCAGCGTGTGTGGTGCGTGGTCAGTACCAATGCAGTCCACTGTGCCGTCCAGCACACCCTCCCAGAGCCGCTCATGATGCTCCGGGGGACGCACAGGAGGATTCACCTTCACCCGCGCCCCACAGCAACCATAATCCCCCGTCGTCAAAAACAGATGATGCGGCGTCACCTCCGTCGTGACATGCAGCCCCTCTGCCCGCGCCTGACGGACAAGCTCCAGACCTTCACCTGTTGAAAGATGAGCGACATGCAGGCGTGTGCCGTGACGTCGGGCCAATTCAATACCGTAGGCGATGGACGCAGACTCTGAATGAACCGGGCGTCGCAATGAGTGCGACGCCGGCCCTGTGTAAGGGTTCGCAGAACAAGCTTCGTCATTGTGCGTCGCGTGTTCGCAGTGCGCCACGAGCGGAATGTCAAGTTTGCCACAAAGTTCAAAGGCGGCCTCCGTCACATCCGCGCTGCTCTTGAGGTTCCCAGTGGAGTTGTCAAGATAAAGCTTCAGTCCGGCACAGCGGGCCTTGAGAGCCGCGTGTTGCGGTTGTGTCCACAGCGTCTCCAATTCCTGCAGATGCTCGTGGGCGGTAGCACCAAAAAATAAGCGAATGTCGCACAATTTCTCCACCGCCTTGGCACGACGCACCTTCTCAGTAAACGCTGTGATCGTCTGCGTTGGTGGTTTTGTGTTGGGCATGTCGCACACCACACCGATTCCACCCGCGTAGGCCGCCTCGGACTCACTCCGCATGTCACCCTTCTGCTCCAGGCCGGGCTCGCGAAAGTGGACGTGGCAGTCAACAAGTACGGGCAGTTCCACCCGCGTCATGGACGTCACTTGCGTGTCCCTTCTCCCTGCTTCACTACCCCCAAGTCCAGACGCCACTACACTCGAGATAATCGCCGCAAGCCACTCCGCATAAAAAGACGGTTAGAGGGAAGCATGCAGGACAAGGCAACAAGAACGCAATAAACAAAAGGAAAATTGATGTGGCTTGCCCGCAAGTCACCTCCCCTTTTAACCCAACAGCCATCACCCGACTGCTCTTCATTGACTCCCTCCACAGGAGAAACCAAAAAAAAAAAAAAAAAGAATAAGAAAAAAATTAAATTAAATTTAAAAATATAAAAATAAAAAATAAAAAATTTTGCGTTAAAATTTAATCTCAAACACCGCCTAAACCCTTCACCCTCTCTCCCTCCAATCAATACTTTTTTCCCTCAGTAGGAAACACCGCAGCACTTTCACATGCCACGGTGGTGAAAATGCTACTACCACTTCATAATAGCATCTAGCTGATTTCCTAAATTGCTCATATAAAGTTTTATCGCATTCCTGCTCACATTGTAAGACCCTCTCGTTCCCCCTTTTATCCGTAATGTATGCATTTCTGTATGAATGAATATGTAGCCTCACTTATGCCACATAAATGCCTATTATTTCTGCCGGTATTTTGCAAAAAACTCGAGACCGCAGTTAAAACGGCATGCAGATAAATATGCATGTGCATCCATATCTTTTCTTCGGCCAAATATATATATATATATATATATCGCTTCCTTCACCTCATAATTTTATGTTTAACAGCCTCATCGTGGCGCCCGGACCAGACGCGTGGCGCTGGAACAGGGCAGCAACACCATGAAGTCTGAGGGCACGTGTTGCCGTAAGAAGTACGTGCCATCGAAACTATTCAAGAAAATAAAAACAAAAAAAAGCATATATATATATATATATATATATATATATACTTTATTTCATTTTTCTCACCTGCTTCTTTTTTGGCCTCTTTTCTTCGTTGTGCCGCGCACCCAACGGCGTTTTTGTGCCTCCACGTTTTTCTTTTCTTTTTTTTTTTTTTTTTCAATGCATGTACGCCTCAGGCACAGATGGAGACGCATGCCATTGGCGAGAGAGTCACTGACCCAACAACATGACACAAACCGAGCCACCCTCCCTCCCTCCCAAAGAGAAAATAAAATGGACGTCGTGCGTGGGTGAAAAGGAAGACATCGTGACCAATCCATTGTGTCAAAAAGTAAAGACAACAAGAAACTAAAAAATAAATAAAGTCAAATCCAAAAAAAAAAAGAAAAAAAACACATTTTGTTTGCTTTGGTTTAATTTTAATCCTCGCTTTTGTTTATTTCTCCGTAATTTTATTTTTTTTTTGTTTCCGTTTCAGTTTTCTTTATATCTATATCTATATATATATATAGATACATATATAAGTATGTATGTACTTTTTAAAGAAGCACTCGGTGTCACCACTGAACGTCGCTGAAGGAGCCATTGCCGGGTTGGAATACATCTTCCAGCTCCTCCTCCGTCATGAGCTTCACCACACGCTTCTTCGCTGGCTTTCTCACGTGTGACACTTTCAAGAAAATGACTTCACCCTGATTCAGCTCAACTTCTACAACACCGTCCACTTCGTTTGTGAGGTAGCGAATAGCCTCCAGCGCGGACTGCGTATGTCGCTCCATCAGGCCCTGCGTTGCCAGCTGTGATGCCAGGTGGCCCGAGTACAAGCGGAACATGTCTGCCGCGCCGCGGTCAAAACAGACATCGTACAAGAAGCGAAGAGCCTTTGAAAGCATCGTCATGCCAGGCGTCTCGTACATAACCCCTTCGCGCGTACGCACCAACCCAATTCCATTGCGGCCAGCAATCTCATTCGCCATTTGAAGTGCCTGCAGCGGAGTCACCTCTGTTCTGTTGATATTGGTGCATCGAGCACTGCGAAAGGTGAGAGAACAGAACTCCGGCACAGAGAGGCAATCCCGCAATGGGCGCACCATCTGCGGCGTTGGCATGCTACGCGTATCTGAAAAAGTATACGTGATGCCGCACACACTGCTGTGTGACTCAACTTGGGCGATTCTGGCCTCCACCCCGTGCATGCGCAAAAAGGCAACCTTGTGGGCCTCGCTGGGGAACTGGTCCAGTAGACTTGGATCACGCCATGGGTTGTAGACGCCCATTTGTGGGAAAAAAGTGCGAACATATCGCTCAAAGTTCAGATCCTTCTTTCCCCGAGAAGAACTTTGTGCCACAACCGTCATATGGCGCATCCGCATGGCCTGAAGCAAATACAAACCCATAACATGCAAGCTTAGCTTCTGCAGGTGCCAGTTGTTCGTGTCATCGTCAACCATAGCCATCACCATGTCAAACCCAAGCTCTGCCATCTCAGTGCGGAGGTCGATGAGCTCTACTGGTACTCCAATCGAGCGGAATTGTTCGGCAATCTCCTCACTGTTGTTTTTTATGCCACCAAGGCATGCGTGGAAACATGTCAGTGCAATTTTCTCCTCCCTCAGACTGATCGCAAGCACTTTACTGTCATTCGTGGAGGTGATACACAGACCGACCTTGTGGCGGTGCAGCATGGTGTAATTGTCATTCTCCATTTTGTTATAGACTCGTGGAACGTAGTGGCGAAAGGGTTCAATCTCAATCTCTTTCACATCCACATCAAGAGTCTCACAGAACATGCGCACCACATTGGGCTCCGTAAGCAGGGAGTGATTGTAATCCACCGCAAGTCGCCGAATCCAATAGTCGGGCGTGGCATTCTCCTGCGTGCAACGCCGAAGCATAAAGTCCTGACGCTTATCACGAAGCTGAATGACAAGATCAAACTTTTCCTTTACAGCGACCGCCGTATCAAATGTTGGCTCGCTGTCCTCATGACGCTGCGTCAGGACGGTGTGTGGAATGCCATAATCTGCCAGCACGCGTGAGGTCTGCTTCGAGGTAAAGACGGGAAATCGATGCGCGATGCGCTCAAAGTAGGGGCAGAGGTCCTCTGCCATTGCGTCCACATCGCAGCTGATAAACACACCACGCTGTGGATACCGGAAGTTCTGGCAGAGCATCGCTTTGAGGAACACCTCCTTCTTGTCGCGCCCAAAAACGCCAATCTCGCCCGTGGACGCCATCTCCACCCCAAGAATAGGGTCCGCACCGGCGAGGCGATTAAATGAGAACACAGATGCCTTGCAGCCAATGTGTGTCATCCTCGCACGTTTGATCGGCACAAGGTTGGAGTCGTGTTGAGAGAGAAATGCCGACACCATCACGGCGGGAAATGATATGCCAAGCGTCTTTGAGACAAATGGAACAGAACGCGAGCTTCGAATGTTTGCCTCAATCACACGCAGTTGTTTATCCTTCGTGAAAAGAAATTGAATATTCATGGGACCAACAACGTCAAGCTCCTCCGCAATAAGTGCGGTGGTGTTGTAGATGCGTTTCATTACTTCCTTCTCCGTGTTCTGTGGTGGTAAAAACATCGTTGCGTCGCCCGAGTGGACACCAGCATTCTCCACGTGCTCACAAATGGCGTAACAGAGCACTCGACCATGGTGGGCAACGATGTCAACATCGTACTCCATCGCCCCCTCGTAGTACTTGCTGACAACAACAGGATGTTCCCCAGAGACAAGGGCTGCCTCTTCAAGATAACGGTTAATGTCCGCCGCACTCGCAATAACGGCCATCGCGGATCCGCTCAGGACATAACTCGGTCGCACAAGAGTAGGGAAGCCAACCTGTTTACAAAATTCATGCACCTGCTCTACACTTGTAGAAAGAATCCACTCCGGCTGCAGTACACCGAGCTCGTCACACATTTTGGAAAACTTGTGGCGGTTTTCCGCCTTGTCGACATTGACAGGATCGGTACCGAGAATCGGGAGGCCATGCTGCTTGAGACGTAGTGCCATGTTTTGCACAATTTGTCCACCAAGTGAGATGACAACGCCTTGAATACGCTCCTTCAGCAAAATATCAAGCACCGTCTCCTCAGAGACCTCCTCAAAGTACAGACGATCACACTCATCGTAGTCGGTGGAGACAGTTTCAGGGTTATAGTTAATCAGAATCACCTTCTTACCAAGTCGACGCAGTTCCCGTGCGACAAGGACACCGCCGTAATCAAATTCCACACTGTTACCAATCCTGTAAACACCGCAGCCAAGAACAGCATACATACGTTCTGTAAATTCCACATCATCGTGGTATGCGTTGTAGCTGGTATACAAAAAACCGCACTGAGAAGCAGGGATCTCACCGGCCACGGTATCAATTTGCTTAACTTTCGGTGTGATTTTCAATTCCATACGCCTTTCACGCACATCATCCGCCGTACACAAAAAATACTTTGCAATCTGAGCATCACTGAAACCATTTGCTTTCATTTTCAAAAGGTAATCACGTGGCATGGTATTCATCTTCCCCTTATATTGTTGTAACATATGATTCTGTAACAAAATAAGTTTATGCAGCTTATTAAGAAAAAATAAATTAATCCTTGTCATCTCATGTATCGTCTCCACGGAAACACCCTCATGGAGGGCTCGGCAAATCGCAAAGATGCGGTCTGGTGTAGGGACCTTCAAATCTTGCATATAATCCCAATTCTTCTTTGCCTCCAGTCTTGGAGGGACATCAAAGCCCGTATGTGACGGATCCACCATGCGTAGTGCCTTTTGCAGTGCCTCCTCAAAGGTGCGACCAATCGCCATCACCTCACCCACACTCTTCATCATAGAACCAATGTTCTGACTCACCATGTTGAACTTGCTGAGATCCCAGCGTGGAACTTTCACGACGATGTAATCCAAGCTCGGCTCAAAGCACGCCATTGTTGTCTTGGTGACCCCATTCGCAATCTCAAAAAGGCCTTTGCCAAGAGCAATCTTTGCCGCAACGAGTGCAAGTGGGTATCCTGTTGCCTTTGATGCCAAGGCGGAGGAACGAGAAAGACGTGCATTAACCTCAATTACAACATAGCGGTGTGAACTGGGATCAAGACCGTATTGGATGTTGCATTCGCCAACAATACCAAGATGACGAATGATTTTAATAGATGCACTCCGCAACATGTGGTACTCATCGTTCGTCAACGTCTGTGAGGGGGCAACAACGATGGATTCACCGGTATGAATACCCATCGGGTCAAAGTTCTCCATGTTACAAACCGTGATGCAGTTGTCGTAGATATCACGCACCACCTCATACT